ATCGATTCACATTTCAATTTCGATTCCGATTTCGATTCACAAGCTCTCAGTTCGATTCGATTTCGATTCTCGATTCAATTTTCGATTTCGATTCCTGATTTGATTCTCGATTCGACTATAATGAAGATGTAATACAAATCCTAAAAAAAAACAGTGGACATAAGTTTACTAGTGGTTAATTAATACAAGGAAATTAAGAGCCATAAACCTGTATATAAAACTCTTTTTATTTTAGGTACACTAAATGCATACAGAGAATAAACAGGATTTTGATGCAATATGCAAAAAAAGTCAGAACAGTCGCACAGCTTGATCAAACAGTATCATGTTATTTTATGTTAAGATAGAATTTAGATGAATAAATATATAAATATTTAGACTTATTTTTTTTACATTGAATCTACCTAAATGGTAATGTATTTTTTTTATTTTTGTTTTAAGAGTTTATGTAATGGAAGCTTGATTTCAATCTTTGAATTAAATAAAAAAGTAGCACAAATAAATACAATAGAATAAAGACACAAATTAAGACATTTGGGGGGTAGTTTTTGTATGTCAGAAATACTACAGAAACTGAATAAAGTAATCCAATAAATTAACACTGGATAGTCTTTTAGTCCATACAAAGGCTATTAATTCTGATTGCTTACAATTAATACTATATTCTTGTTATGACAACAGAATTAATGACTGACACAAATGGCTGCGTTCACTTTAAAAGATAGTGCGCGAATCCATTACTGTTTCATTAATTTCTGTCACACACGTTTTAATGCTAATAAGACATTACGACTGCTTAGGAGGTTACTCACCAAAGACCGAGTTTTGACATATTCGCGCATTTTAACTGTTAAAGTGATATAATCCAGATAAAACTTTTGTTTCTGGCGAGCTGTTTGTGAGGCAGATTTAGGCTGTAACGTTACTGTGCACGCAGTGAAAGACATCTCTGAGAGTCCACGAGCACGGAATGGTTTAACATTGCTCGTAAAACTCAAAAAGACGTGAAAATGATAAAACGTTAGTTACGATCATAGGTTACGATGCAATGCTGGCCCGATTGTTAAGTGAATATTCCGTCATGTCCCGACTCCTAAACGCGTGTGTGTATCGACAGCTGCAGCGCTTGGCGCTTGCCTAGTGCAGAGAGACGAGAAGATGCAGCACCGCGTCCGCGAGCCCTTTATATGGAAAAAATCGATTCCGGCCGTTGAGAATCGATTTTGAATCGAACACATTTTAAAAAACGATTAATCGAAAAATCGTTTTTTTTGCCCAGCCCTACGTACCACGCTGTGGAAAAGCGAAGCGAGCCGAACCATGCCGCACCGAGCCGAACCGTACTGAGCCGTACCGAGCCGTACCAGCAGTGGAAAAGCGTCATTTGATAAGGTTACAATACGAATGCTGTAGCAACGTAACTTGCGTGAGGTTCCCAAAACTTTGGTGTCATGTCACGAAAGCGGCGCGCCGAGCAGCTCCTGCCGCCAGCCTCGACAACAACAACGAATTTACATTTACAAAATTTATTGAAATAAAGGCTGTTTTCATTTACATTACAATGCCAGGCTGGGGCGGACAAAATAATTTCATAAAAGCGGGACCCGCGGGTTGGAAAAAAAGCAGACCCGCGCATCGCAAGCGTAGCCATTATTGGGCCAGGGCGGCACTGGCCCAGCCACATTACCTCACTGGCCCGCCTGACTTGTGAGACTTTATACATCACCACACTACACTTTTGCCCTCAAAATGTTGCAAATTAGATGTTAAAATGTCATTTCGCTTTTACTTCATAGGGTTCTTAAAAGTTGAATTACTAAAACTTTTATTGTATAAGATGTTTAGACAGTGTTATTTCAAAGAGAAATGACTCTACCCTGTTTATATTACATAATATGTCATGTCTAGCATAGGAATGTCTATAATATTCCAAGTACTTGTCAAGAAATTGTATGCATTCAGTTTAATCGAGATGTTTTGAGTAAGAGTTCTCCGAGTTTTCAACATTTCCCATATGCATTATGTCCGCGGGCACATCATTACGCAGAGACAGCTTTGAAAGTTTTCCATCTTTCACTGTGAAAAGAGAACTGCGAATGTAAAAAGTCAAATTTTAAGAGCTTTCTGACTTTAGAATGTGTCATATCAGATAAACGTGAAAGAGGAGAATATTCAATTTTAATGGGCAAAAACTGAACAAGATTGGCATGACTTGTCTTCTGTAATCAGTCGAGTGCAAAACAGAGAAAAGAGCTTTATTTTCTGTCAAGTTTAATCCTCTTTAAGGAATACAGAAATATTTCTGCAGTACTTCCGACCTCTGTTTGCAAGGGTTGAATTTTTGCCCTGCTTAGACCATTAGGACATGCACTAATAAATGAACATGATAAATAGGTTGTTTTAAATACATTCTTTCTCATGATATATTCAACAGTTAATATATTACTTTATATTTTATTAGAATAATCTGATATATCAACAACATACTATTTAGATGTATTTTGCATGCTACCCTTTTACTTCATGACTTCCTCTCTAAAAAAGTTCAACATTGACTATACACTGCACCTTTTAACCCTATCATTATTTGTAATAACTTTCATTATTTGAAAGTCAAACAATTTCCTTAAATTCCTGCCCATTGTCCTTAAATTTCCCAGCAAAATTGTATGAACTGCACACTTTCCTAATTCATCAGCCAGCAACAGGTTGTGACACACTTCAAGACCCTGACTCTGTGCCGTGAAGTGCTCTGAACCCAAATTGCAATTTATCAAAAATGTCATTTCCATTAAAATTAAAATATGATAAAACACCTTTTCTAGGATTTTTAATAAAAAAAGGATAGTTTTGAGATCAGTCGATAATTATTTAGCACTGTCGGATCCAGATTTTTCATTTTTAGAAGAGGTTGCACTACAGCATGTTTACAGCAGAATTACACGATACCACTTAATAATTCTGATGTTTATTTAATGTTAATTTCTTTGAAAAAAGGTGGTTTATTAAAGAAAAAAATGGCTTTTTTACTGTGAGTATATGACTAATTTGCCTGAATGTTTCATTGCTTCATTTTAGAAAAGCTAAATGATCATGTTTTCTGTTCTTCTTTCCTTCCTCGCAGAAGAAGTCAGTGATAGTGACCAGTCTGATTGTGGTGGTGTCTCTGTTTTTGGTGGTGATTAATTACTCAGAGAAACCCTACTTCCTGCTGCAGCCTGTTTTCGGCCAGAGCTTCAATAGAAACTGGATGTTCTCTCGACCACCGCATAAAGCCTTCAAACCCCACCGCGGCTACCTCAGCGTCCCTAACCAGGAGGTGAGACTAGAGCAGAGCACACTTAAAATATTCAGTGTCCTTGCTTTACACTTTTGAGCTGCATTATATTTCAAATGGTACAAACTGGCTTGTCTTGCAGTCAAAGCTGCAAAAAAAAATACTGTACATTTCACTTATTTCACCAGTTCAACTGCACTGAAAAATAAAATTGGATTTGAAACAATTTTCACTCAGAAATAGCATGTAAATTTAATTAGAAATGGCAAGTAAGTTTATTGAAGTAGAAAGAGACACTTCTGCATTGCTTTGTGCTATTCTGCTTGCCTTGAAGCAATGAAATGTGGAAACGTGTTTGATTTTATTTTGTTGCAATGACCATCACTTTGTTTCAAAAAGTTGGAAAGTTGGAAAAAAATATATGTTGTGGTTCTTCACATATTTAGTACACATCAATATTTAATTTAATTGCACATGGTCAGTCATATAATTCTCAATATACGTTGTAAATTAATAGCAGGTTATCAGTTACTCATGCTGAGATTTTTCATAGGTGGTGACTTTTTCCACTTAAAGGGATAGTTTTAGTCTATTTTGCCTCAAGATGTTTTCTAGGATCCGTGGATGATGAAAGAACCTGCAGAAGTGAAGTTTTGCCAAGTCATCTATCATATATTCAAGGTCATCGAAGAGTTTTCTCCACGCACAGATGAGGCTTTGCCTCATAACTGCCAAGTTCATGTAGTTTCAACTGCTCAGGTGATTTACTGCCACAATTAGCACTGAGAGGCAGGCTGGTTCTCCTACTTACAAAAGAACAAACACAATTACTAAAGAAATTAGAGGAAGTTAATAAATTGAATTTACTGTTCCTGTCTGGTCTCTTAAAAGCATCCAGCTTTTTGAAAGCAATTTAGTATAGATGAAATGCATCAGGAGGGTTGGAATTATTTAGTTGTTTGTCCTTTTGTGCTGATTTATGCACAAAAACAGGGGCAGAGAAGGTCCTAATACTAATGCTGTGTTTGAATACTTTTGTCAAGGCTACAAAGTGCTGCTATAACAGTCACGCCTGAATGAAACATTTTTTAGTTGCTGAGCAGCCTCTCTAACCTCCAACTAATTGAGTTCTTTCACAAGTCACAAAACTCTCCACACCCCCCAAAAACAGTTTATTTTAGACCATCGAAAACCAGAATGAAAATATTATTAATAACTAAAGCTGATTGAAATCTACACCTCTTTAATTTCACAGAAAACACCTGTGATTTCAAAACAGATTGCTACGAGGCAATTTTGAAACGCTTCAGTGAATCAAATCTTAGTGAAATGGGCTTTATTATAGAATGTTTTTTTTATTATTATTATTATTATCCTTGACTGCTCTAAATTAAACTTACTTTTCTCTTGAAAAGAACTCTTTGAAGCAATAATCTTGAAAACCTCCGAATGTTGATGTATTGAATAATTCTCTCTGCAATTCTCTCTGCCTGTCTTTGTGTGTGTGTAATAATGTGTAAAAAACAAACAAGCAAGCCCAGCCGAGGTGAGAAGAACTTATGCAACATACTTTTTTAGGAAGTAACACAATTTTATACTGCATTACTTTACAGTGTAACTTTCCCCAACACTGATATAATATATGATATAATAATACCGTATAGCGTGATAAAAGCAATCAGCAATTATCACAACATGAGAACCATCATATATATACAGTATATATGTGTGTGTGTGTGTGTGTGTGTGTATAGTATCTAACAAAAGTGACTACACCCCTCACATTTCAGCAACAAAAGTGAGTACACCATAAGTGAACATGTCAAAACTGTGTCCAAAGTGGCAATATGTTGTGTGAGTACTATTGTTATCTAGCATTGCCTTAATCCTGCTGGCCATGGAGTTCACCAGAGCTGCAAAGGTTGTTGCTGGGATCCTCTTCAACTCCATAATGACATCAAGGAGCTGCTAGATGTTAGACACGAGGTTCTTCTCCTCCTTCCACTTGAGGATCACCACAGGTGATCAATAGGGTTCAGGTCTGGAGACACACTTGGCCACTCCTTCACCTTCAGCTTCCTCAGCAAGGCAGTCATCATCTTGGCGGTTCCTTCTGGGACGGCGAACAAGCAAACCGACTTTCAGTGTGTGGCGAATGTTCTGAACACTAACAAGCTGACCTTCCGCTTCTGTGACCACATGTTCAGAGAGGTTTACATTTGAAATACACGTGTGGGGGTTACTAGCAGGAACCATGCACACGGAGGCACCTAGCCGACGTCCAAGCAAAGATACTGTCGCCAGCATCAACAGTGCTGGAGGAACTCAGGGCTTCAATAGAAGGCTCAGCTGAGAAAAAATCGCACTTATCCAGTCCGTGGAGTGGAATGGCGAGCAAGCGAAGACACCTGAGCGGGTCCAGTACTGGCCGGGTAAGCGAGTACATGAGAGGACACAGGCTCCACTCGGAGATTATAGAATCTAGCGAATGTGTTGTGTGTCGCCGCAGATGTCTGCTAGCGAGGCGCCATGCGCTAGAGCCCAAGAGGAAGCCACACTCCGGGTGGAGTGGGCTGTCACACCAAGGGGGCACGGTCGACCTTGCTGCTGGTAAGCCAAAGCAATGGTTTCCCCTATCCAGCGAGACAACCTCTGCTTTGAGAGAGCCCTTCCCTTCTGGCTCCCACCATAACAGACAAAGAGCTGGTCTGAGGTCCTGAAACAATGCATTCTGTCTACGTAAGCACGGAGGGCTGGGTCTGCCTCCTCCAGGGACAGTGCTTGCAGGTTCACCACCTTGGGCACATATCCAGGCCGGGGTCTCAGGATCACGTGAGAGTAGGCCGGCCCGAATTCCAGGCACGCTTCGTCAACGGAGAATGTGTGCAGGTCCCCTACCCTCTTGATGGAGGCCAGTGCAACCAGGAGCGCTGTCTTCATTGACAGGAACTTAATCTCAACTGATTGCAGAGGCTCAAAGGGAGGCCTCTGCAGGGCACTTAAAACCACTGAGAGGTCCCAAGAGGGTACGAGAGGAGGACGAAGAGTATTTAGTCTCCTCGCTCCTCTCAGGAACCTGATGATTAGGTCCTGCTTCCCCAGAGACTTACCTTCAACTGCTTTGTGATATGCGGCAATAGCAGCCACATACAATAGATGCCATGTCCACCTCGGGACTCGATCGCGAAGCCACAGCTGAAGCGGTCTCGTATGAAGCAATCCGAGTGGTGTTGCCTCGGCTGTGGATGCCATATGCCCCAGGAGCCTCTGAAAAAGTTTCAGTGGAACCGCACTCTTGCCCTCGAACTGTCGAAGACAAGTCAGCAGTGAGTGTGCGCGCTCGCTTGTAAGTTGTGTGGACATGGCGACCGAGTCTATCTCCATACCGAGAAAAGAGATCCTCTGCACGGGGCAAAGTTTGTTTGCTCTTCTCCCAGTTGACCCGAAGGCCCAGACGGGCTAGGTACCGGAGCACAAGGATGACACTCCTGGACCACATTAGTGGCCATCACCTAAACCCAGGGAGCGCGCGGCCACTTTAGTCGCCCGGAGAGCGAGGTCGGTGGCGGCACGCAGTTTGTCAAACGTACCTGGATCAGTCCCGCCCTCATGCATGTCTCTGAGGAGCTGGGCCGGGTAGATCTGTAAGGTGCTCATAGCGTGCATGGCAGCAGCCGCCTTTCCTGCAGCTCTGTAAGACCTCGCCACCATAGATGATGAGAACCTACAGGCCTTGGACGGGTGCTTTGGATTGCCACGAGAGGAGGCGCTCTAAGGATATAGTTGCATTGCAACAGAACGCTCCACCGCGTTGTACCAGTGTACCCGTGAGCAGCTGCACCGTTGAGGAGGGGAAAGGCGGAGAAAGCTGACGAACGCTCACGGGAGGTCCCCATGATTTCGACAGCTCCTCATGCAGTTCCGGGAAGAAAGGAATTGGGGTTGGCTGTGGCTTTGCAGCGGCAAATGCTCACGATGCTCACGGCCGCCCGGGACAGCATAGCAGTCATTTCGGGATCCGACATGGACAACGCTGGGACTCCCGAGGGAGGCAACGCAGCCACATCATCACTTCCCAATGACTCCTGCTCACCTCCGTAGAAAATCCCACCTGAATCACCGTGGCACTCGCGGGTTGCAACACCGGAGAGGGGGGCGTGGTCCGAGGACGTATCGTCGGATGATTCCACACCGTCACCCTCAGATCACCCTATCCCCCAGCCGAACTACCACCTCTCTTGGAGGAAGCAGAACGGTTGGTGGATGCGGGGACTCTCACTGTTTTTGAATCATTGAGTCACGATCTTAGTGTTGCGATGGTCATGTTCCCACAAAAAGAACACGAGTCATCCACAAGTGCTGCTTTAGCGTGCTCAAAGCCCAGACACACAAAACATCGCTCGTGCCCATCAGAAGATGACAGATATCGACCGCAACCAGAAGAACACGGGTGAGACATCTTTAAAAAGACGTGCACCGTGCAGCTCTTTTAGGAGAGGAAAATTCTGCAATGCTTAGGCAACCAGGGAGAAAACACAGAGTCTACAGACCACTGCACAGATCGTTTGCAATGTGAAGACTCGCTGGGTACCGCCGTCACACCAACACTGGAGAGTCGCTCGTCTCGAAGAGGTGAGTCACTTGTAAACTCAGATCTTGTGGCTTGTGGTGTGAAGAGGTTCTCTTGGCTCCGAAGTGAAAACATACTGCGGTTGCGTCCGTTCCTCTTTTTATACTCACGAGGCGAGGCGGAGTTACGCTATGCAAATTCTCAGACCCATGGCATTTTCTTGCCATTGGCTCGTTTTTTAATGCTCGAAGAGGATTGGCTTTCTAGGCGAAACGACCATTCTCTGTCATCCGACGTAATTCGGAGTGACTACGAAAGGGAACTCAACTTTGATTGACACTTGCGAGGACTGTTACGAGTGGAACCCATCTTAGAAAACCTCTGTATGACCCTGGTCTGTACTGAAACTCAGGTTCAGGGTGTTACCAATCTTAGCCTAGGCCATCTGTGTGGAGAGCAACAATTCTAATTC